TAACTACCAATGTTGAAAACAAACAAGAAGATATTGACAAAAGCAAACAACATTTGTACTTGAAAATTAAGTGCTATCATGCTTACTGGCAGTAAATATGGAACAGAATTGTGGAACACTATACTATTCATACCTAATAAAGACATTCTCAATGCCCCTGGATAAATTGTTTTTTGTTTTTTTGGGTCTGGTCGTGGAGCCTGAACTCTGGGCTTGGGCGCTGTCCCTCAGCTCTTCAGCTCAAGGCTAGCGCTCTACCACTTGAGCCACAGCACCACTTCCGGCTTTTTTCTTTTTGCTTATGTGGTGCTGAGTTACATCTCAGGTTGATAAAGGTTATAGCTTAATGGATATTAAAGTGGAACCACCATCATTCAAGAGAAAAATTAAGGTAAGACCTCTACTCACCCGGTAAAATAAAGTACATTAAAAAGTAAACACTAAAAATAAGTATTTCAAATTGCTGATAAACTCATTAAACAGCTTCCCATAGATATAAATTAGCTGTAGATACTCCACAGAAATAAAAGTATAAAAAAATACATTAAAGAAAAATAAATGGACTAAAATTTGGATGAACATACAAAATCCTTTAGAATGGAAAGAGACCTTTTTAAGTATAAAATAATGGAATATTACCAGAAACCTGAAAGATTTAATAGATCCAGACAATCTACTAAAAGCACATAGAAATAAACACATTGAAACTTAATTTTAAAAAGGCACTTGTTGCATGGTAAGTAGATGCCTATCTATAATCCTAGCACTCGAGAAGTCACAGCAGGACGATCTGAAATTTGATGTCAGTCTGGGCTAGACAGCAAAATCTGCCTTAAAAAATGATTTTAAAATTTTTTAAATAGAGTCAATATTTTTAATGTTATAAGAAGAAACACCTGGGGCTGGGAAGGTGGCTCAATGGTAGAGCACGTGCCTTGCAATGCATGAGGCCCTGGGTTCAATTCCTCAGCACCACATAAGCAAAAAGAAAAAAGCCGGAAGTGGTGCTGTGGCTCAAGTGGTAGAGCGCTAGCCTTGAGCTGAAGAGCTGAGGGACAGCGCCCAAGCCCAGAGTTCAGGCTCCACGACCAGACCCAAAAAAACAAAAATAGCATACACTGTGATCAAGTTGGGTTCATCTCAGAAATATAAGGATGGTTCAATATATGCAAGCTAACAAATACAATGCAGTCTTTAAATAGAAGCAGAGACAAAAATCACATGATCATCTCAATAGATGCAGATGGTCTTTTGACAAAATTCAACATCTCTTCATGATAAAAATTTCATGATCCCTAAAGATACTAGCAATAGAAGCAACATACCTCACCATAAGTAAGCCTAGATATAATAAACCTATAGACAACATTATACTAAATGGGTAAAAGCTGAAAGCATTTCCTCTAAATTCAAGAACAAGAGTACCTACCCTCTCCACTCTTATTCAGTATAGTGCTTGAATATCTAGCCAAAGCAATAAGGCAAGAGAATGTAGTAAAAGGGAGTCAAATAGAAAAAAAAATGTACAAAAAGAAAACTTACAAAGAAATTATCTCTATATATAGATGATATGATCCTATACCCTGAAGACTAAACCAAAAAGGGCTGGGAAGGTGGCTCAGTGGTAGAGCGCTTGCCTTGCATGCATGAGGCCCTGGGTTCCATTCCTCAGTACCACATAAGCAGAAGAAAAAAAAAGCCGGAAGTGGCACTGTGGCTCAAGTGGTAGAGTGCTAGCCTTGAGCTGAAGAGCTGACGGACAGAGTTCAGGCCCCACAACCAGACCCAAAAAAAAAAAGGCAAGACTAAACCAAAAACTCAGATCTGATAAATTCCCTCAACAAAGCTGTAGGATACAAAGTCAGCATACAACAATTGGTAGCTTTTCTATATACAAATAGTGAAGATGTTGACCAAAGAAATTATAAACAATCCCATTCACAATAGATAAATTGAGAGAGAGAGAGAGAAAAAAATGTGCTTTCACCAAGGAGATTAAAGAACTCTACAATAATAACTGAAACACTAAAGAAACTGCTAACACAGAAGATGAAAAGACCGCACATGGTCATAGACTCATGAAATTAATAGTAAAGGTGATTACCAAAAGCAATATACAAATTCAATGTAATTTCTATCAAAAGTCAAATGATACCATTCACAGAAAGAAAAAAATTTGCTAAAATTCATATGGAAGCACAAAGACTCCGAAGAGCCAAAGCAATCCTGAACAAAAAGAGTATTCTGGAGGTATCACAATTTCAGATTTCAAATTATACTATAGAGCCATAGTAACATAATCAGTATGGAATTGGCACAAACATAAACACATGTACCAATGTATCAAAATCAAGAACAGAAATAAACACACATAGCTACAGGTGTAGGATTCTTCACAAAGAGGCTCAAAATATATGTTAAAGAAAACACAGCCTCTTTAAGCAACAAATAGTATGTGTGTGTATGAAATTTTTAAGCCAAAAAAAAAGTATTCAAGTGATTTTGCAACATGAATCCAAGTTTAAAAATGAAAAAAGTGACAAATGAATAAAGAAATACTATGTAAAATATAGCTATCTCTAGGTTACAGAATTGGATTTATTTTATCTTTATTTTTATAACTCTTAACCTCTCCTAAATGAACATATATTAGCATTATCATCAGAAAGACAAGTTACAAAAGGTACTCAGAATTTAAATTTAAATGCAAATAAACACTTTTAGGTCTAAGTAAAAACATGTGGAATTTCACTTAATAATTTAGTCTAAATTTCTAAGTGATGTTTCAAACTAAATAAAATTCTTATAGGATTCCCTACCTGATCTAAAGTCCCAAATCCTTACTCGACACAGTGTTCTTCACTCAAGCTCTAGTCTACTATGTGAGTCTCACTCCAGGTAAAAGACTAGCCCCTTCCCAACAGTGCACACTCACACTGGACACTGAATATGTGAATCCAGTCAGGTACATGCACCTTTACTTATCCTACTGGATTGAAAACCCAAATTCATAACTACAACTTCTTCCTCTATAGGCCAGTACCTAGCACACTACTTCATAAGTAAGTAATATGACATAAACCTAGTAAATAAAACTACTGAACACAGGCCTGAAGGAAGATTTATAGCACGAAGTATTTTCAAATTACATAAACCTTCTAAGAAAGAAACAATAAATATTTCCAAAAAACTTAGGTAAATTGTGAATAATATGACTAAATAATATCTTAAGGTCCTTTAAAGATCAGTATCTAGACACAGAAATAAAACTATATACTTATAGTTATCTGATATTTGATAAGGGAGCCAAAGACATACAGTGGGGGAAAAAATAGCCTCTTCGATAGTTGTATTGGGAAAACTAGGCATCCACATGCAGGAAACTAAAAGTGGATCTGTGTTTGTCACCATGCACTAACATCAATTCAAAGTGGATCAAAGACCTCAACGTCAGACCTGAAACTTTGAAACTACTGCAAGAGAGATTAGGAGAAACATTAGAACTTGTAGGTATAGGTATAAACTCCTTTAAATAGAGTCCCAGGGGCACCACAGATAGGAGAGACTTGACAAGTGGGATTACATCAAAATGAGAAGTTTCTGGACAGCTAAGGACAGAGTTACTAAACTAGAAAGACATTCAACAAACTAGGAGAGATCTTTACCAGCAGACAAAGGCCTAATATCCACTATATACAAGAAGCTCAAGAAACTAACCCCTCCCAATCTAATAAACCAATCATTAAATGGGCAAGAGAGCTAAGGACAGACTTCTCAGAAGAAGAAGAAAGAATGGCAAAGAAACACATAAGGAAATGCTCATCATCCATGGAAATACAAATCAAAACAACTCTGGGATTCCATCACACCCCAGTTAGATTGACCAACAGTATGAATTTCAACAACACATGTTGGTGAGGATGCGGGGGAAATGCACAGATGGTGGGAATGTAAACTAGTACAACCATTCTAAACAGCTGTCTGGAGGTTCCTCAAAAAACTAAACATAGATTGAACCATACCATTCCTGGGCATCTACCCTGACCATCACAATATGATGCAGGATATGTTAAAGACACCTGCACATCCATGTTCATTCACACACTACTTACTAAAGCCCAGACCAATAACCAGCCCAGATACCACACAATATATAAGTGAATCCAAAAAATGTGGTACCTATACAAAACGGAATTTTAAACAGCCATTAGAAAGAATAAAATAATGTCCTTTGCAGGGAAATGGATGGAAGTAGAACAAATCATGTGAAGTGGGTAAGCCAAGCTCAGAGATAAATGGCTCAAGTTCTCTGATATGTGCAAATTAGATCTAAAATACACTGGGTTATGATAAATTTTACAGGATTCTAGATACAATGAGACCAAAAGAGGATAGACACTCTTCACAGAGAAACACAATGGCTCAATGTCTAGGTGCCTCTTCATATTTTATATAAAATAATACACATGTCAAAACAAACCCCAAGATATGGAACCAAGATCTCTTTTTTATTTTTATTTTTTGATGATTCTGTCTTCTTTTTCTCTTTGTATGGTGTTTTCACATGCATATCTTCTGGAGAGTGGGAGGAGGGCACAGAACTCAAGGGAAAAAGGGTAAAAAAGTGCAGCAGGGAAGCTCACTAGACATTGATGAAAGTGAACCATACAACTCGTGGATAGAGATAGGAGGGAGGGAGTGGGAGAGAGTGAGGAACAGAAGACACTGTTCAAAAGGAAATATACTCCTAACCTGACTCATATAATTGTAATCCCTGTGTACATCACCTTTATAATCATAATAATAATGAAATGTTAATTTTTAAAAACAAAATAAAAAATCAGCTTTTATAAACACTACATTAAAGTGACAATGTGGGTCATTTTAATTCCCACTGTTGACATATAAGTTTCATAAATAAAAAACTATTTTAACAACTTTCATAGGTATCAGTTTGGGAATTCATCTAGTTTGGGAATCATCACACCTCCCCAGCTTACCTAACAGCAGTGGCTCGGTGGATGAGTGTCTCTGTCTGCTCTGACAAGTCTGACGGAAGCAGCAGCTCCACAGGCTGCAGGCTGGATATGCGAGTCTCCAGCTCTGATCGCGAAGCGGAGTCCTGGAAGCTATCAAACACAATCTCACCTGTAGCAGGCTGCACTCCCTGAAAACAGATACAAACATAACATCACAGAAAACAGACATTTTTTGAATGACAGCTGGAAAGATTTGTAAAGCCAATCTGCTCACTGGTCCATACTACATTTTCTAAAGTGTTTAAAGACCTGTCTGCTTTTCAATACTCTTATGAGTCAGGTACACAGAGATCTAAAATACACTGTGGAACTTTCCAGAGATACCTAAGTATAGTCCTGAAGGTAACTAATACGCCTGGCGGAACAACTATGACATGTCACCCTAATGGGCCTCAGTTTCTTCTTCCACAAAGAGAAAAAAAAGCAGCTGCTTTCTAACCGGGCTGTTGTAAGGCTCAAGTCAAAAGAATAAAGGTGAATATCCCATAAATAAGGCACTGCACAAATAGCAATTATGATCACAAAGGAACACAGTCCTAACCACCTGACCACCAAAATAATAGTAAGCACACTTAACTATATCTCTAATATGTAAAAAGTAAAATTATAAAAAGCCGGGGGTGGGAGAACGCAGTCATAACATTTGATGCATATCCTATGAAAGCAGGAAAACTGGGGGTGAGTCGGGATGAGAGGGATGGCAGAGAATGAAGAATGAAGAAGCTGGGCACCAGTGGCTCACGCCTGTCATCCTAGCTACTCTGGAGGCTGAGATCTGAGGATCATAGTTCAAAGCCAGCAGACAAATGGAGGTACAGTTCAAGTTTCTAGCCTTGAACAAGAAAGCTAAGGGAGAGTGGAAGGCTCATCTAAGTCCCAGTACAAGCACAACAATAACAAAAAAAAGAAAGAAAGAAAGAAACTACTTAGCTAAGGTCTCTGAGTGATAAAGAACACAACAGTCTGTTTTAGCCAATTATCATTATCCCTTAAGGATCCCTTCCTCTGAATCTCTGGACAGAATAGTCCCATGATCTTCCATGTTTAATTTCTATCCCATAGAAGGTATCTATAAAACCTTTGCTAGCCATGCGGTAAATAGTGTTTTATTATTCTACCTATACACTGTCTACATATCTGTGTTTTAATACATCTCCCTTCAACTCTTAAAATTCTAGAGAACATGGATTGAAATTATCTGGATCTTCTATAGCTCCAAGGAGCCATATGAAAAAACTGTAACTAGTGATTTAACAGGTAATATTATAATGAGAAAAACAGTTTCCTAGAACAATTCCTATAAAGCACACCTCATTAGATATCTCATACACATTTTTGTTACTTTTTTTGGTAAAGCACATAACGAGAAAAACATTTTCAGTATATTAAGAAATATGTAGCTATCCTGTTTTATATTTGTGAAAACATCAAATAGTTACAATAATTTAAAACACATACACATAAACATACATATCGTCAGGTGCCAGTGGCTCATGCCTATAGTCCTAACTACTCAGAAGCTGAGATCTGAGGACTTCAGTTCAAAGCCAGCCTGGCCAAGAAAGTCCATGAGATCCTTATCCACAATAACCTACCAAAAAAGAAGGTGGAGCTGTGCTTCCACTGCAGAACACTAGCCTTGAGCAACAGAAGCTAAGGAACAATAATTCCCAGGCAGTACACACACACACACACACACACACACACACACACACGATATATCATCAGATTAACCTATGAGGAGACTCTTTTATATCAAACTGCACACATACTCATGAAACTTTTCCAAAGTGACTCATTTTTATCAAGTTTACTAATACCTTTAACATATTCATTCCTCACTTACAAAGTACTTACCACAATGCCAAAAATGACATTCCCCTTTTTTTTGTCCTTAATATTCTCCTTATCTTCATAGATGCACAGAAGATAATTAGTGGAAGTGTCAGTCATTATCTCATCAACATTCACAGTGTCATCTAGCTTGACCAGAGGATTCACATGTAGTACAGGTTAAAGAAAAACACATGCTAAATTTTAACCTTTATTATTCTGAGGTATGTTCCTCCCATTCCATTTCTTTAAAGCATTTGTCATGAAAGCATGTTGGCTGTTGTATCTATTGAAATGATCGTGGGATTTTTGTCCTTGAATCTATTTATTTGCTAGATTCTATTTGCAGTCATAGTATATTGAATTATTCTTGTATCCCAGGAATAAACCCAACTTTTAAATGTGGTGTTAACATATATATATATATAATATTACATATTATATTTATATGTATTATATATTACAAAATACATTATGTATTATAAAATGTAGTGTTTGTATATTATATATATAAGCCAAAGCAATTAATTCACACTCAAATACTGCAAATTAATTTCATTCATTAAAGTGCCTAAAGCAACAAAAGAGCAAAAAATTGGGAATTAAGGATATGATAAAAAGTAAGATGCAGGCAGGCATCGGTGGCTCATGCCTATAATCCTAGCTACTCAGGAGGCTGAGATCTGAGGATCCTGGTTCAAAGCCAGCCCAGGCAGGAAAGTCCTTAGTCCATGAGACTCTTATCTCCAATTAACCACCAGAAAACAGGAAGTAGCACTGTGGCTCAGGTGGTAGAGTACTCCCCTTGAGCTGAATTGCTGAGGGATAGTGCCCAGGCCCAGAGTTCAAGACTCATGACCAACCAAAAAAAAAAAAAAGTAAGATGCATACATATGTATGTGCACACATGTATGAAACAAGTCCATTACTCAAATTCTCAGGAATAACAGCTCACTCTGGCATAAAGAATCAGCTTGGCATAAAGAACTTGGACATCAGAAATGGAAGCAAAAGGGAAGCAAGGAAAGGGATAGACTTCAAATAAGAGACTCAAGCTCAGACAAAAGAAAAATCAAGTTTGCCAGGTACTTACATAGGTAAAATCAATATAGGACTATTAGTAGTTTGAGTGTGCGCTGAGTGATAGCTATTTAGGTTTACTTTTCTCTTTGTTTTTTTTGGGGGGCGGGGTGGGAGGTTTACTGGGAATTGAACTCAGGGGCTTGCTAGGTAGGCACTCTCCTACTTGAGCTTCTCTGCTAGTCTCTTCTTACATTAAATTTTTTTAAATTATTTTAAGCTCACTTTATGTCTGGGTCTACTTGCACTGAAATCTTCCCACTTTGTTCATCCCTGAATCACAGGGATGAGAGAAACATACTACCACCCGAGCCATTGACTTTGTCCTAGAGCTGGGATGAAAGAAACCCACTAATCCACTCAGTCATTAAGCAAGATGAAGTCCCAAAAACTCACTCTTTGATTTTTTTGCCCAGGCTAACCTCAAATCTCAAACACCAACTGAGCCTCCCAAGCAGCTAGGATTAAAGGCTTGAGCCACTGTACTATCTAGGCACTTAATAGAAAACATCCTTAGAATCTGAATAGAAGCTAACCAAGTTTCTTAGTTAGCTAATTTGCAATAAGCCATAAGAAATAACTTTCTTTCACAGGGTATCTTTTAAGGCTGATGCATTTAAAATAGCATAATGAGCCAGGCACTGGTGGCTCATGCCTGTAATCCTACCTACTCAGGAGGCTGAGATCTGAGGATCTCGGTTCAAAGCCAGCCCGGCCAGGAAAAGCCATGAAACTCTGATCTCCAATAAACCAACAGAAAACCGGAAGTGGCGCTGTAGCTCAATTGAGAGTACTAGCCTTGAGCTGAAGAGCTGAGGGACAGTGCCCAGACCCACAGTTCAAGCTTCATGAATAAAATAAAATAAATAAATAAAATAGCATAATGAAACTCTTTTTTACAACTCATATAGGTTAATAAAAAATGTAAAAAAAAACCTATTAGCTATAAAAAGAGTTTCATTATGTTATTTTAAAAACTGGGTGTGGAGGTACACACCTGGAATCCCAGATACTCAGGAAGCAGAGCAGGAGAATTCCAAGTTCAAGGCCAATCTGGGCTACACAGAAACTCTACCTCAAAAGGAAAAGAAAAAAAAACTAATAAAATTGATAATGGTTAACAATTAAATTATATTTGGAACACAATGAATTTATGAATGGTGATAAATCTGAAGGCAGCCACTGAGTAAGAACTCTAGGGTTTCTTCAAGATAAGAAAGCTATACCCACAATCTTTTTTCCAAAGTAGCAAAATTTATTTATAAAGCTAATAAAAAAAAATTCTAACTTATAAGCATTTAACAGACTCCTAATTTTGCAGTTTTCTTTTCACATGAAGTAAAAGCTATTTTCTAGTTCCCATTTTAGGAAGATCCTGAGGAGCTTATAGGCCTTAAACAGGTAACCATGACCCACAATGATACCAGGGAAGATATTTCAAACAGCTCTAGTCTGCCATCACCTTTTACCAGGCTCGCTCTTCCTTGTTCTTGGGATATGATGAGCTCTCCTTTTACTATGACATTTAAAAATCAGTATTTCCAGCCATCTTCAATCCTTGTAGATGTTCAGTAGAAGAAAGGGGCTAATCACTAACCATGGACTGAAGCCGCCATTCCATTACCACCTCAAAATTTTCCCACTGAAAGAACAATATTTTTTTTTAATCTATCATCTAAAAACAGAGCCCTTGGGACTCGATAAATGGGACTACCCTAAAATAAAAGGTTTCTGCACAGATAAAGAAATAGCAACCAAACTAGAAAGAAAGCCAACTAATTGGGAAAAAAAATTTACCAGCAATATATCAGACAAGGGTCTAATATCCATTATATACAGGGAACTCAAGAAACGAATCCCTCCCAAATCTAACAAAGCAATCATTAAATGGGCAAGGGAGCAAAAGAGATATTTCTCAGAAGAGATAAAAATAGTAAAGAAGGAAGTGGCGCTGTGGCTCAAGTGGTAGAGCCCTCGCCTTGAGTTGAAGAGCCGAGGGACAGCGCCCACCCCAGAATTCAAGACCCATGATCGGCCAAAAAAAAAAAAAAAGAAAGAAAGAAAGAAAAGAAAAATGGTAAAGAAACACATGAGAAAATGTTCATCATCCCTGGCTGTAAAGGAAATGCAAACAACATATAACAAAGGGGCCCATCAGCTGCACTGGACATAGAAGAAAAAGAACTAAGCAACCCCAAAGACAGTGATGGGAAGGGAGAAATGAGAGGGAAAGAGGGAATAGCCTACACTAAGCAAAAGGAAAGAAAAGTAAACTCACCTGATATGGAAGAAATAACTGTATTGTCAAAGCTCATAGAATTCACAAACTTTATAGACCCTAATAATGACAATTTGCCTTGTGAAGGTTAAAATGTGTTTGTGACTTTAACTAAATATCACTATACCACAAAACTGTGAAATTTATGTAATCACCTAATCTCAATTTTAAAAAAAAAGAAAAGTAGATGGCTTAGGAGCGATGGGTGACAATGTTGTCAGACACCTTGTATTTATATACTGTTTGTAGAATGGGAACTTTTTTGTACAAGTATTTAAAGATAATAATAATAACAAATGTTTTTTTAAAAAAACAGAGCTCTTGGAATATATAAGCGAAAGAAAATCAGATTCTAAAAGGATATCTTCTCCAATGAGTGTAGATTTTGTATAAAGAGCAGTCAATTTCCGGGCAAAGAGTGAACTTTTGTTGTCTCCAACAGCTTTCAATGCTGCCGTTTCAGTTTGCTTCACAACTCCCACCTTCAACAAAATAAGAAATATTTGATAGCAAATATGATGAAAGCCACTTAAAATTTTACTTTATAATGTTTAAAAAATAATTTAGAAACATTTAAGGCAAATATTTGTCCACAGGGTCCAGGTGAAATATTTAAGTAAAAAAAAAGTCACAAGTTGGGCACCCAGTAGCTCACATCTATAATCCTAGCTACTCAGAAGGCTGAGATCTAAGGATTGTGGTCTGACGCCAACACAGGCAGGATAGTCCATTAGCTCCAATTAAATATCAAAAAGCCAGAAGTAGAGCTGTGATTCAAGTGGAAGCCTTGATGATCAAAAAAGCTCAGAGACAGTGCCAAGGTCCTGAGTTCAAGCCACAAGACTGATTAAAGAAACGAAAAAAAAATAATAAGGAATAACAAGAAGCTAACACATGTGAACAGATCACTAAGAAACACTCTGATTCTGAGTTTAAAAATTCTAGGACCAGGTTGGTGGCATATATCTATAATCCCAGCACTCAGGATGCTGAGGGAGAAGGATTTCAAGTAATCAGGCCAGCCTGGGGTACAGAATGAGTTGTGAGGAAAGCTTCAATTACATAACAAGACCTGTTTCAAAAAGAAAAAATAAAATTCTACTACAAATACTAAACAATGTTTTTAAACATCAAGGTATAATGCTAATAATTATGACACACTTTTATTTCTCAAATTGCCAAATTCTAAAACCAAGTAACCTCTGCCTACCACCTTATCAGACATGTTCTCTGTCTAGAAGAAACCCTAATTCCCATGCCCCACAAGTGAAAGCCAAAACAAACCTTGTATCCTTTGGCCACAAGGCGGCGAACATGAACAAACAATCTGTGGGTAGGTATACTCGCTGTCATAAAATTGTGATCTAAATGACAATAAATATTCAGCTCCCGGGCAGCAATCTAAAACAAATTAAATATAAAATATCAATAACTTTCCACTTCCAGAATCCTTATTAAGTGGTCTGGGTTTTTTGTTAAAAAATCATCAAAGGTATACACATACAATTTCTATACTTGCTGCTGTACTATAAAAGTTATAAAGACATTCCCTGCATAGACACTGATGGCTCATTTGTTTTTGGCAAGTCCAACAGATTGACTTCAAAACCAACATTGATATCTCTGAACAACTCAGAAAAACATGCCAAGTCTTCTTCTATGTACTCAGATGTACCAAAACTTTAGTGTTGAGCTTTCCCTTCATAAGGACTATTCAATTTGAACAACATGAAGATGTAATAGAATAAGAACTTGTCATGCAAATAACTGACAATCAAAAGATACTACAGCACACACACAAATGATGAGTTCACTTGGATAGGAAATTCAGAAATCATGAGAAAAAGAGAACCCCTTGGTCTTACTAGCTAACTAATGATGTATGGTTGACAGAAATAAAGAAGCAGGAAACTGCATCTGATTCCTAGCTTTCTTTTAGAAAACACCGTAGCATCAGTACTACCCTCCAGAGGCACAGACTCTCACTCCAACAATCTTATTTCCCGACCCCCACTTTCCATCTGGACTATAGTAAGTCCATTCCTGAAGGGTAAGGAAACATCTGTCTTTACTATAGTCAGACTTAAATTTACCATTTAACCTCCCCATTTCCCAGATGATGCCAACTACATATCTGATCCTCTCCTCAGAAAACATGACTGATGCTATTTTAGTCAGTCATCACATGAAACACAGCACATTCCTTGGAGAACACCACTGTCCTGCCATTACAGGATTCAGAAAACTGAGAAAAAGTTGGTTAAGTCTTCACTACCCATCTCTGAGGCAATATATATGCTACCATACTTCTTTCTGATCAGGCTTGGAACTATGCAATCAGTATTTTCCCAAAGCTTGACCATTACACATGCAAATTCCCTTTTAATCCTCTTGACTGAAGCCTATATCAAACACTTCAAAATACAATACAGACCAACTTACACAAGATAGCAAGATTGCTGTCTTGCACAATATGAATGTATGAAATTTCAAATACCTGTTGATAGCTAGTCAAGTTAATGGGCTCATCCATTAAGAGGTAACTTTTCCTGGCTATGAAAATCCATAAATCAAAGGTAAAATGAGGAACATCCATATATCTCATATTTCTTGTCTGAATCTTCACCAGAAAACATACTGGCATGATCATGCTTCATTCATTCATTAATACATCCCACAAACTTGTGATAGATTAAAAATACTGGCCTAGCACCATTAGCATGAACAGCCCAACACCACCACCGTCATTTCTCTCCCGAGTCTAGCTCCTACCAAACTTGTTTATGCCCATTTTTTGTTTTCTACACTAAGTGACAGTATTTTTAAAGGATGACTGATCAAACTCACTTTTTTGTTTTCAGAAAATGAAACAGAAATGTTGAAAAATATTGATAGTTGGACAAGATAAACATGAACTAGGGCTGGAAAAATACTTACCTCTGCATCTTCCCCAAAGAACCTGTACTTATATCCACATTCCACACACAGAATTGCATCTTTATACTGCTGTTTCATCTCTATATACTGCAGTTCTAATGGCGTATAGGTGCTTTTAGATCGTTTGTTAAATGAAGCTTTTGGGATGTTTTCATGGCTCCCTTGTAATGGTCCAAATTGACTGTCCTGGCAACCAAAAGACTTAAATTTAAAAAGTAATAGCTGTAATAGTAGGTTCTCAAAGAGAAAAAAATGCAAATTGGTAAAAAGCTAACACCTGATAAACCCATGTGAAAGTTTTCTAGAAGCACATTCAGACAAGTTATTCCACAGGTTTAATTTTGCTTTCACAGTAAAAGTTTCTGTTTTAATTATAAGCCCCAAATAAACTATCACAATTTGAATAAATTTCCAAATTCTAGATATTTTAATGTCTTATATGCTTTGAGTGTTGCATATACTTTCATATATTTCTTCTTTAAGTTTACTTTATTACATTTATCAACAGTTCTTATTATTTCATGTGTAATGCATAAAAGATCAATGGGCACAAACAGAGAACAAAAGCACTTTTAGTAAGCATGTCAACATCTCGAAATTTCACTTCCTATTTTATAGTTCCAAGTCTATATCCATTTGTTTTACCCAAGATTTTGCTTAATATTTGCCAAGATTTCTACTGAAACACCTCAGAACCTCCACCTGTATGGCCCACGATGCCTTCCCATGCAAACCCTTTAAAATTAGGACTATGGGAAACTTGTACTTACGTAAGTATCAATTTTAAAAAAATATCCCCCAAGCCAGTGACTCCTAACCCAAGTAACATGTCAAAAACATTTAGGGGTCTTGTTACCTTTTGTTTGACTATAAGCCAATTCATCCCTACCATATATATACTAAATTAGAATCTGTAAGAATTTAAAAAAAGAAAGAAACTAAGAAAGAAAAGCTCCCTCCTTTTATTCAAATGATACTTAAGAACCTCCTATTCTGGTGTAGTTATATACATTTTTGGGGGAGGGGGTTGGAAGGTAATGCTTATCCTTAGGGCTTGAACTGAGGGCCTGGGTGCTGTCTATCAGCTTTTCTGCTCAAGGCTGGTACTCTATCACTTGAGCCACATCTCCACTTCTAGCTTTTTGGTAGTTAAATGAAAATAAAGATTCTCAGACTTTCACACAGACTGGCTTCCAACCAGACCTCAGCCTCCTTATAGGCATGAGCCACCAACTCCTGGCTTCAGTGACATACCTTTTGATTACTTTGTGACTTGGAATCTTCAGTAGAAATTGCACTCTTTGCACGCTGAAGACTGATGTCCTCAAAATCAGTACACTTTGGCAGAACTGCAAATCTCTCCCTGCATGGCTCTGTCTGGACTCTAATGTGAGGGAGGGCAGAATCACAGCTGAACTCTTTCAGTTTTTCCAGTGACTTTAAAAGGCTCCTGGTCCTCAGATGTCTCTTTGGTTCTTCAGAAACTACTGGAAATAAAAAATACTAATAGTATTTTGGTCCCATTAGGTTGATTTATATAACCAGCAAGAATTTGTTAAAAAGAGAAATCCTATTAAAACAATGAATTTAGACAGGTACAGTATATCACACCTACACTATAATCCCATCGTTCTGGAAGCTGAGGCAGGAAGCCACTGAGTTCAAGGTCAGCTTGATCTATATTGTTAGATACTGTCTCAAAAAGCTCAGAAAAAAAAAATGATGTTTACTACAATGTTACATTGTAATAAAGCAAAGAAATATATAACCTTGGGCTCATTAGCTTCTGAAACCCATTAAAAACTACAGTAGAATTTTGCATCTGCCTTTTTTATTTGGTTTTATATATTAAAGGCAGACAGGAAACTAGAGAGGTGACAACTGCAAATGAAATATCTGAAGTTAGAAAGGATAATGATAAGCAATCACAAATTTGGCACACCCAATGGAAGCAAAACCCTAAATCAGAAATTAAGCAAATCAAGAACTCATACTATTTACATATAAAATGCCCAATACTTTCAGGAATTAGTGAACCAAAATCTCTGGAAATAAAATAAAGAGAGTTTCTAAAATAAATAGGACTGGTACTAAGCAGTTTCAGCAATGACAGGAAGACTAAAGCAAGTAGATCCAGGCTTAGATGCATATCTAGGCAGAAAGTAAAGCCCTGTCTCAAAAACAACCAACAAAACAAACCACTGGAGGTGTAGCTTAGTGGCAAAATACCAAGAAATGCAAAATCCTGAGTTCAAACCTCAGTACTGCCAAAAAATAAAAACAACCCTGAGGACAAAAGTTGCGCTGTGATCATTTCTAAAAGTTAAAACTTTTCAAGGTTTAGATGGAAAACTCTTTTCAGATATACAACATATCAATTTTCCTGTGAGTCTTCTAGCTAGAAAAAGATATATAAAATCTTTTTTTCAAACAACAATGTAGCATGTTAATTTTGTTTAGTATCACTTTCTACTTTTTGAAATGTATATTGAATTAGTCTTTAAAAGTAATGGGGGGGGAAGGATTGGGTTGAGGGGTGGGGAGGATGATTGGAAGGGAAAACAAAGAAAGAGGTTACAATGCTTGGTAAGAAATGTACTCATTATCTTGCCCATGTAATTGTAACCCCTCTGTACAGTACTTTCACAATTAAAAAAAAAAGAGAGACAAATGACCACATTAAAAAAAAAAAAGGCAATACAGAAAAAAAGAGAAAAAAAAAAGCAATACAGTAAGTGTGTGTATTTCCCACCTGTGGATACAAAAAGATTCCCACACCCCTTGAGTGACTTTACTGCTACAAATTGATAGTTTGAACTCTGTACTGTCTCATGGCAGGATTCTGTAATTCTTTAAAGACTATCAGACTTGGTTCGGTCAGGCAGTTAAGCTTGCTTTGTTTTTACCATTAGTACAGGTTTTGAACTCAGGAATTTACACTTGCTAGGCAGGTGCACTCTCACTTGAGCCATGTCCCCAGCACTTTTTGCTACAGGTTATTTTTCAGGTAGGGCTTTTCATTTTTTCCAAGGACTGACATCAAACCATGATCCTCCTACCTTTGTCTTCCCACAGTTGGGATAAAGCATACCACCACTTCAGCTTTTTTGTTGAAATGGAGATTTCTTTTTGGGGGGTAGGGGGGATTGGTCTGGACTAGCCTCTAACTACCATCCTCCCAATTTCTCCCCCTGCCAAGTAGCTGGGATACAGGATGAGTCACCACCTCCAGACCATTAAATAAATACTTATTTATAATGTTTGGTTGTTTAAAGGATTGTTTCTAAACCTTGGTAGAGAGGTCTAAAGTAGCCTTTACTCTGGTAGGTTAGTCCATCCATAAGTCTGACCCTTTCGTGTGCTAGAAAGGAATGCCTGTGAGCAGCAGCACACCAAAATGGAGTATTTCCCCTGTGACACTGATAACATTCAGAACACAAAATGCAGTTGCAGAAGTGATGAGGCTTGAGAATTTATTATTCAACTGTCAGTATGCACCAGGCAACAATCTCAATACTTTACCTCTCTTCACCTTTGTTTTTAATACTTTAGATTCTAAATTTAATTTTATTTTAGAATCCGTATACATTTATTGTATGAGGGGGTTTAAATGTGGTATTTTCCTAAGTGTGAACAATTGATTCGGAACAAATTTACCTTTCCTGCTGGGATGGTGTTGGATGGAGGGGATGGTAAGGGACCATGAGAGAGGAGTGGAGAGTGATTCGAATATACTGTATATATGCATGGAAATGTCACAGTGAAATCTCCCTCTATATAGCTAAACTTATGCTAACAAAAAAATCAAGAAAAGGTCAAAAAGAACAGAAATGGAACTCCAGCAAGAATATCCATAATGTCTGAAATGAATGTCTCAATGAATAAGATTTTTAACAGACTTAGATGCTACAGAAAACCACTTAACTTGAAAATATGACAGTAGAATACCTCAAAAATGAAGGGCGCCACAATACTGTAAAATTTGGGAAATTATGTAATCACTTAATCACAATAAAAAAAAAAAAACAGAAAACTAGGAGTGGCGCTACGGCTCAAGTGGTAGAGCATGAGCCTTGAGCTGAATTGCTCAGGGACAGCTCCCAGGCCTAGAGCTCAAGCCCACGACTGACAAAAAATAAATAAATAAATAAAGAGAGAGAGATCTTTGATGCGATTATTTCTAACGTATTTATAAGATTATGTCTTTGTTGCTTTGTATGTCCCTCCCCCATGGTATAACCCCTGCTTTCACTGTATTTGATGTTGGTATATGTGGAGAAGAAGGGAAAAAACAAATGGTTAAAATAGGGATACAGGAGGACCCATTGCAACAATGAGATGTACAAGTCGTTATGTTGAAAAACAAACTTTACAACTTTGTTGGGGGGGAGGGGAGCAGAGGATGGGAAGGGGAAACAATGGAGGAGGCTACAATGCTTGATAAGAAATGTACTCATTATCTTGCCCATGTAATTGTAACCCCTCTGTACGGTATTTTCACAATAAAAAAAAATACGTTTATAAAAAAAGGAAGAAAGAAAGCCAGCAAAATGGCAACAAAATAATTATTCTATAAAAAAAATGAAGGGCGATGAGAAATAAGACTGGCAAACAAAAGAAAAGAGCCTCAATAACTTGACAGATCATATAAGTGGTTTAATACCCATCCAAGTAAGAAATGCTAAAAAGGGAAAGGAGAAGGCAGAAAAACATTTGAGAGAATACTGGCAAAGAAAAAACAAATCTTTTTAAATTTGTTAAGAACAATAATCCCACAGATCTAAGAACTTTTTAAGCAACTCCAGCCAGGATAAAAAAATTAAATATTTTTAAAAACTAAGCTCAAGTGCAGAAAAATCAATGTGCAAAACTCAATAATAAAGAAAAAACTCTTCTGCCCAGAAGAAAGAAAAATAGGAAAACTGTTCTTCTATAGCTAAAACAAAAACGTTAGCATGATGTCACATATGCTAATAGCTAAGACTCTTTGGCAGAAACCTTCCTTCTAGGAAGTGGCGCTGTAGCTCAAGTGGTAGAGCACTAGCCTTGAGCTGAAGAGCTGAGGGACAACGCCCAGGCTCAGAGTTCAAGCCCCACGACCAACAAAAAAAAAAAGGAAATCTTCCTTCTAAATTTATAAGCTTTCTGATACATACTTTGCCTTCCTTTCATGATTGCTCTTATTCCAAATATATATTTTAAGATCGTTTCCAATGTATATTCTACTTCATTTATTATCAATCCCTAAGTTTTCAAAATATATACTTAAATTCCTTTTCCAATGGATATATTTACTTCTAAGTACAAAAGTTTCCTTCTCCTAGGGATCTGAGGTATAAATAAAAAAATAACTTGCATATTAAAGATCTAAGAAAAGGTGAAATACTGCCTTGAAATAAAAAGGAATAAATGTAGCCAAATGACAGAGGTGGAAGGTAGAATGGTATATGCCAGAAGCTGTGGGTAGAGACTACAGAGTTCTTGTTTCATGGGTGCAGAGTTTTAGAACAGCAAGGCGAAGAGAGAGTGCTGGACATCAATAACAAGACTGTTTCATTTTATAAGAAGGATAAAAATGGCTAAAGGAAGTAATGGAGAAAGTTGGGATAACAAGCTAAATTGTAGAACTACCCCTAGCTTCCTACACACAACACCAGGACCTCCAGCATAAATAGATCTCACTCCATAAAGGAAGAAGACTCAATTATCCAAAAGCCAACCTCTTTCCCCTTGGAGAACACAAAAATATCAGTGCCATGACTGGGCTGAGAAGAATCATTACCCAGAACTCACCAGGACTGCCAGACATTACCAAGTCACTTCCTCCTTCCTGTTCCTGGGCTTTCTTTGTTTTCTTTTTAACAGGTCCATCATTCACCAGTGGTCTTTTTTTCCTTCTGTCAGTTTTTGTGGACTGCAACACAGAAGTTAGAAGAGTATGTTACCTCCATTCTGAGAATGCTTCACCATACATGAAGTAATTTAAACCTAACTTGTGAATAACAATAAGTATCTTGACTTCTATTCATAACAGAATGACCTACATTCGCTCTAGAAATGGAAGGCCTCTGTAGAAACTAGCAAGTCATAAGCCTCCTTAGCATCTCAAACCCTCCTAGAATTACAGGAAACAAAGTCAGTCTCGTTTCTTTATTCAATCAACCCTTACCTATCTCAAATTACAAACTTAAATTACCCTACTTAGATGTGAAGTAAAATACTCCTAAGAAGCATATTTATTTAACATATGCAAAACTACAGGGGAGAAGTAGGTAATACATGAACAACTCATTTTTGAAATGTTAACTATAATTAACTTCCTGTGTAAATAGTTTGCCACTAAAGATGGTATAAGATTATGAACTATTTGTCAGCAGAAAACAGAAGAAAAACTAAGTCCTTCACCAAACAGTCTCAGGTGGTAGATACAAAATAAAGTCTTGGTGAATTCATAAAAACTAGGTCACCCTCAAAAAAGGCAAGAGACAGGAGTGATACCATAAGGAAGAAAAATATAAAGAAGCAAAATTTCGAAGCAACCTAGTTGTTACTCACATTAAAATCTGGTAGGCAGCTGAAAGATGCTGCAGTACCCTTCCGCACTATCAGTTTGGGCCCTGTACGCGCAAGGCAGGCACTCTACCAAATGAGCCACATCCCCCGCCCAAGGTTGGGGAATGGTACACCGGGGAGCCCCAAGAAGGAGTAACCCTTGAGCTTAGCCTGTGGTGACATTTCTAGTTTTTAAAAAAAAACACTTTAAAATAGGTTGGGGAATGGTACACCGGGGAGCCCCAAGAAGGAGTAACCCTTGAGCTTAGCCTGTGGTGACATTTCTAGTTTAAAAAAAAAAAACACTTTAAAATAATTATTTTGTTCTGTTCAAGGACAGCAAGCCACAGAAAGTACTCCCAAAGGAACTATTCACATCTATAGAACGTTTATCTGCCCAAACTAAACGTCACTTTCCAGTCATTAGGAAACTGCACAGAAGGACTTCTGCCCACAGTGATAGGACATACTGCACAAGACTGCTGCGCTCTGGACAGTTAAGACTTAGAATGACAGCTTTCTTCCAGTTACCCAAACAGGAATATATAAATAAGTAAAGTTCTCTTTCAATAATCAACTCATGAAAAAGGTCTCCCAGTAACAACTGGTGTCACCCTGGCCACAAGTCTATTACCTCAAAGGGAAGAAGAAAGCCTTAGGATTACATCTAGGGTTTAACACACCCACTAAGCTTCTTCCCCCGCCCCCACCCCACACACCCCCTCGTCCCCTTTTCTCATCTGGCCCAATAACCTTGCAGTTTCTCGCGCAGCCTCCGTCGCCAGCTCCACCCGCAAACCCCGCCCGTTCCCACACTGTCCCGCCCCCTACCCGAGGCTCCGCCCCCTCCTGGACCGAACCTACCAAAGGCAGCTGCACCGCGGACGCTGGGGGCGCTGCGGAGCCAGGCTCTCCCTTCCCGGGGGCACCCGGGGGTGACGAGTTGGATTTCAGGCTTCCAGTAGATTGGAAGAACCGACTCAGAACTGCTTGTCTTCCGGGGGCCGAGCGGGCTGCCGTGAGTGCGTCCGACGCAGGCTTCCGGCGAGACATTGCCGGGCGGAGAATGGCAATCTGCAGGCAAGGCCGGCCCGGAGAGCGAACCCGCCACTTGCAGCCAGCCGGCGCCTGCGCGTGCGCGTACGCGTACGCTGCGACCCGTTCGCGCGGCGAGGCGGGAAGGGGCGGGGCGCCTCGCCTGCACAAATAGGATGGAGGGGGCGGGGCGCCCGCAATTTCGCGCCAAACCCGCGGCGTGCACCAATTGTGCCCTAAAAGCTCGAGTCGAACGCTGCTGCCGGCATGGGGCGCTCGCTAAACTGCATCGTCGCCGTGTCCCAGAACATGGGCATCGGCAAAAATGGGGACCTCCCCTGGCCCCCGCTCAGGTACCTGCTGGGCCTAGGTGGGGCGACTAGAGCTGGCACAAGCTGCCGCTGGCCCAGGCACGGCGGGGCTGCGCTGGGCTGGCCTGCGTGCCGGGGCTGCGGTGGGACTTGGAAGCCGGATGGACCGTGGGTAGTTCTGGCTTCCACCACCGCAGCGCCGGGCCAAGCTGTTGATTTCCGTGAGGATCCTGGGGCTGCGCTGGCCCTTTGCCCCCTAGTGCTCTGACCTGAAGCAAAGTCCCCGCCCTGGGCTAGCACCATCTACTACGCAGAAAGTTTACCCTGGGCAGAAAGTTTACCCTGGGCGTTGCAGCCTGAGCCCGCGGGATACAATTCTGAGTAAGCTGTTTTTCTGCCTTGCAGGAATGAATTCAAGTATTTCCAAAGAATGACCACAACCTCTACAGTAGAAGGTAATGTGAACTTTAAAGGAGATTTGCCATGGTAAGCTGCCACCTCCCCTCCTACCAGTCAGTGATTGTACACAGTTCCTGATTTAACGTTCTTTTTACGTGTGCTGTTCGTTTGGGGGCAAAGTGCCAGCAGAGGTTAGTGCTTTGGAATAGTTGCTGAAAGAGGTGGTAAAACCTGAGCATGGGCAGTGGGATGTAAAAACTTTTAAACTACTGGATGTAGGTGGCTCACCTCTGCAATACTAGCCACTCACTCAGGAGGTTGAGATCTGAGGGTTGGATTTAAAGCCAGCCCAGGAAGATAAATCCATGAGACTCTTACTCAATTAACCAGCAAAAAGCCAGTACTGGAGGCGTGGCTCAAATAGAACACCAGCCTTGAGTGAAATCACAAGAACACTAAGAGCCCAGTGTGTGTGCACAGGCGCACACACACTTACACGCACATATTTTTAAAAAACAGTTATGTGATATTGAGTGTTGGATATGTACAAATGAAAGGTAATGGAAGAAGTCATCAAGCATCTCTCCAATTACCAGTGTGGCCAAGTCTAGGTGACTTGGAAAATAAATGAGTGGAGAATGGGCTGCAATTGTAGACAATTTTCAGTTGCATGTTTGACATCCAGGATAATTTCATTCCTAGGGGAAGAACTAGGTAAATTGAGCCACTGGAGAGAGGACTATAACCAAAGAAAAGACTATGAATGAAAGGATATTCTGGTGAAAACCTAAGAAATACATCCGTTTGTGGTGAAGAGGAATGGCAGCATAAACCATGAATCCCCAATAGTCTAGGTGTTACACAATGTTAATAGGACAGACAAAATGCCTTTGTATTGGCCCTCAGGTCACTGGTGTAAATGGGATGACAAGAAGCCTTTTTAATACAAACCACTCCCAAGAAGCCTGAGTATTTAAGTAAAAATGGAAATCGTATGTATAAATATTTTATATAAGAAGCATTATTCTTGAGGTATAATACTGAAAGGTATAGAGGCACAGCTGAATGTATTTTTAAGGTTAAGATAAGTAGAGCATTAGGGGTGTGTGTGTGTGTGTGTGTGTGTGTGTGTGTAGGGGTGTGTGTGTGTGTGTTCGTTCATTCATATGTCCATTTCAAGGCTGGTATTCTTACCACTTGAGCCACAGCTCTGCTTCACAATGTTTAGGGTTTAAGGAGATTAAGAGTCTCAGACTTTCCTGCCCAGGCTGGCTTGGAACCATGACCTCAGATCTCAGCCTCATAATGAGCTAGTATTACAGGCGTTAGCCACCAGTGTCTAGGCAGGACCTATTTTCTAAAGTACGACAATAAATCTATAAAGTGCATAAACATAAATAGTATGATTACATCCAACAGCAACTGTAATAGTACTTATTAGGAGGTAAGCTTTGTTCTACATCTCTAATCCCCTTAATGGCTAAGTGTAAGAAGTATTCTTTTTTATCTTTAAACAGTTTTACAAAGCAGTTGCCATTTCACAAAGCATTTTGACTTTTTGTCTTTCTAAGGAGTTACATTATTTTTATCTTCGTTGTATAGCTAAGGAAAATAAAATGTGTTAATATGATTTGTATAGTAAATGACAGATTACATTCAACTTGAGCACTTCAACTCTGAATCTTTTTTCTTCACTGCAGTGGTTGCAAGTAGTTAAAAACAAACGCTGGGTTAGATAAAAAAGAAAATGGTTACCGTATTTAGATAGTGATAATTGTAGAGCTGTTTTAGTTTTTGTAAAGACTATCCACTAGATGTCAGTATAACAATCATATCTGCCTACATGTGTAACTATGAAAATATATGTATATTCCCTAAATGCATTTATTCTCCCTGTGTAACTTTATAGGTAAACAGAATCTGGTGATTATGGGTAGGAAAACCTGGTTCTCCATTCCAGAGAAGAATCGACCTTTAAAGGACAGAATTAATATAGTTCTTAGTAGAGAACTCAAGTAAGTACCATAACATAAACTCACCACACACAAATTTAAAAAATTATATTGTTTCTTAGGGCTCAGATCAGTGTGAAAGAATGAAATTGTATAAAAGTAATTATAAGGCTGTTTAATATCACTAGGATAATTACAGAAAATGAATAAGCAGCGAATGCCATGCAACAACTTATTCTGAAGTTACATTAAAATTAAATTTCACTGTACTAGACACTTTGCACATTTATTTTCAATCATTAGTCTGGGCTCAAATACTAAAGATACAATATAATAGGTAACTTTTTTTCTAGTTCAACAAATACCAAAATACCTTTGTGTTAAGATTTACCAAAATTAAGTGGCTATCATTCTCTAGACTCAATTCTCAATTCAATAAGATGTGAGTTTTGACAAACTTATGCTAGTCCACTATTATTCCTAGTTAGTTATAATACGAAAATTATACTTTGGGGGCTGGGAAGGTGGCTTAGTGGTAGAGTGCTTGCCTATCATGCATGAAGCCCTGAGTTTGATTCCTCAGAACCACATACACAAAAAAAGCTGGAAGTGGCTCTGTGGCTCAGGTAGTAGGGTGCCAGCCTTGAGCAAAGGAAGCTCAGGAACAGTGCCCAGGCCCTGAGTTCAAGCCACAGGACTGGAAAATATATATATATATATATATTTATATATATATTTCATACTTGTATTCTTTATCCAGCATCTGAAGTTAAAAACATTTCAAAATACTGAGATAATTCAGGAAGTTTCAGAAGAAGGAAGCATCTGTGTCTACTTGACTTCTGCTAAGAATTTTCTTGTCCTTCAAACTAACAGTGGTACTCCAATAATAATAGTTCCTGATGTTTGGAAATGCCTTAGGGATTTGGGGTGCTGGGAGAATACCAAGATAGCTCATGAAGTCAACTCCAGTAGCTGAATTCGACCTTAGTGGCTTCAATGTTATTTACTTCATTTATGACATGTACTGATTTTGGTTTTTCGTTTTTTCATTTAGTTATTGATACTGATCCTAACCTACCATAATAGCTTCCTGAACCTCAGGGAGTTTTTTGTTTGTTTCATTTTATTATGTTTTTTTTTTTAATCTGGTCAGAAGTTACTGAATCAAGATGCTGAACATTTCTTCCTTAACAAAATAATCCAGTAAAAAAAAAAAAATTCAGAATACAGCATGTGAGGGAGCTGCTTGCTTGTGGTAATTGGGGAAGGGAAAGCTAGAGAAGCAGACCCAGTGAAGATGGGTCTACAGTAGTTTCTTTGCAAGGAATTTGCTATCACTGATGTAGGGGATAGTTCCATAAGACCAAAAGTCTTTAGAGTGGCCATCAGGGAGGACAGACTAGAACTCTCCAGCAGGGGCTACAGTTCTACAAGTAAAATTTCTTTGGGGAAGCTTCATCTCTTCTTGTGAGGTGGTTTGTATTTTGATGAAACCCACCCATATTAAAGTCATCTACCAAATATCTTGGCAACAACACCTGGATTACTGTTTGAATAATATACTAGCCAAGTTAAACCCGTTATACAGCCATACACTGAGGGTTTCAGGCATATGAAGATTTTCTCCCATATCTGTTCTAGACTGGAAAATGCCTGGCCATTGCACTAATTGCCTCTGGTTGATGTGCAGCCTGTCATCTGCCTCCATCTTCATGCTGTTCTTTGTCCTGGTTGCTAGGATATTTTGATTATCCTTCTCTTGGTAGAATCCAGATTCACAAACTGTATTTCCATTCCCAGGGATTTTTTTAATAACATATTCTTGAATACTACTCAAGGTTATTTATGGCTAGCTTGAGCTAAAACAAACATAAAGGAATCTCAGTGGGGGAGATGTTCAGTTAAGCCAGCATTTCTTCTCAAATGATGAGTCTAATTTCTTCTGTATGACCCTCCTGTGGTATATGTAATTGGGTTTGGTTGTTTCTTATATATTTACATATAACATTGGTGTATTTTGCTTTTTTTTAAAAAAAAAAAGAAAATTTAATGTCTTTATTATATGGCATGCCACAGTAATAGTGATACCAGTCAGTAAAAATAATTTATTAGGCTTCTTTTCTTGCCCCTTCTCTTGTTTCCCTACCTGCTGGCCAATTGCATGCATATGCTGAGCACCTGCTGTATGCCAGGCTCTTCTGAGTCTCGCATAAAGTACCAGCACTTACATACTTGTTTATGCAACCTTTTAAAGGTACTTGATTTTATACCTCTTCCCAGTATAGAAGAAACTGAATCTCAAGGTAACCCATTCCTGCTATGTTTTTACACTGAGATAGGGTCTTCCTGCCCAGCCACAAACCTAGTCTGTGATCTGCCTTTAGGTTTCCCACAAAGCTAGGATGGCAGGCATATACCCCCTCATTTAGCTGTTAGTTAAAAAGGAGTCTCAACCAGAATTGTAGTTAAATTAAGTGGAAAGCCTACTAGGAACATTATCTCATTTAATTCTCTGGGAGTTACCTGGAAGAATACAAGATTCTCCATCACAAATAACACACCAAACATGTCCACACATGTTGACACAGATTATGTATACTACCACATACCAGCCTTTTCTTGTTGGGGAATCCAAACTCAGTTTGAAGATATATATGTATCTATATAGATATAGATGGAAAGGAAATTAGCAATGAAGCGAGCCCTAATATGGAATGTTTCAGTCCTTGCTTACCGTGTTCTTTTCTAGAGTGTATTCTGTGAACAAGCTGATGAACTCAAACATTACCTCAGTTTTTAGGCATTGCTGAGCATATTTCCTGTAAAACATTTCTGAACTGCTAAGAAATCAACTATTTTTCTAGTAGCAATATTGAGATTTGATTTCCAGAGTCTTGTTCTTTGCTATGCAAGTGCTTTATCACTTGAGCAATGCTCCTGGTCCTCCTTGCTTTTAGTTTATTGTTCAGGTAGGGTTTCTTTGTTTCGTCCAAGGCTGACTTGAAACCACAGTCCTCTTGTATCCAACTCCTGAGCAGCTGAGATTATAGATGTGAACTACCACACCTGGCTCAAATAGCAGTATCTTACAGAACCATCTCCCCAGCACCTTTTTTATAACTTAAATTTGAAACAAATTGTTAATCTCATCTTTGTTTTTCATTTCCAGACTTACTACAAAGTGAAAGGAATTATTTATGTCACAAAATTATTGTCCTTTCTCGTAGACATTCTTGCCAATAATTTGTCCTTCTGGGAAATCATATAACTATTACCCACCAGCTGCAGGAATACCTCTTCCACTTTCTCATGTCAAGTTTTGTTGTTGTTTTTTTCCATTTGTCTCCTCTCATTAATGCTGACTTCATCATCCTTAGTTCCTAAAATCACCTCAACTGTCCCTGTCATCCTACACTGTTAACCAGACTGTGTTCTCTCCCAAGTCCCAGTCCCTGTTTCTTCCACTTTGGATCCTCTTTCAGCAATCTAGTCCAACTAGTTCCTGCAGCTTCCGTGCTAACATCAGGCATTTAACTTCAACCTGACCTCCATTTTCTTTTTCTAGCCTGAGTCAAGGAATATTCTTTGCTCTATCCTGACTCCTTCCCATAAAGATGACAGAGAGTGGAGAAAAGTCAAATAGATATCAAGAAGAGAGGGAGCCTACTGCTAAGAGAATGAATAATCTCCATTAGTTCTTGATTAATCATTGTCATAACTACCAGCTCAAGGGCAATTACATAATACTTTTAAAGCACTAGGCTGAGAACTTGACAGCGAATTAATATGTCTCTTCTGTATCTAATTACTATGAGAGCGTAGATTCTGTAGGTCCCCTCACCTCCTCACCAAAATGAGTGAGTTCTGGAGGTTGAAAGACATTGAGCTAGTCAGTGGAAACAATGAAATTATTTTAAATCCTCTTCCCTTCTGGGGTTTAATTGCTACACTGATTTTCAAATACTTCACCCATTGTGGTTTTGTTCAAAACATGAAAGTCCTTTCCCAAAGTAACCATATGTTAACAGTTTGACTGTTGCTCCAGTCTTTTCTACAGTCATCCAACCCTGCTCTTTCCAGCATTTTATCATGTAAATTTTCAAACAGAAGGACATGTAAACAGCAGCTCTATGCCCTCCACCTACATTCTCTCAATACCATTCTGTGGTACTAGTTTTATCACACCCATCTGTCCATTAGTTGACTTTGTTTGCATTTGTATTTCTTTAAAAATTGCAGATATTAGTATATTTCTGCCTATATACTTCATATATATCATTAACTGTAATTTACTATTTTATTGAGTTTTTCTGCTGAAGTAAATATTTTTGCTAAATTCTGACAAGTTTATACCTGTGTAAGCCAGACCCTGGTCAAAGATTCAGAACAGAACATTATCTTAACCTCCAGGGAGCACAGTCATGGTTTTACCCAGTCAATCCTTACCCCCTATTACAGGGACAACTATTGTGATTTTTTTCTAACCTCATGAGATACCACATGAGGTTTTGTGTTTCAGTTGATATGGCTCCTTTGTGTGCAAAATGTATACTAAATACTGCTTATAGGCCATACTGATGTTAAGTATTTTTTACTGAAATTTCATATTTTTGATGGTTCTAGTTTTATAATCACTGCTTCTTATTCAGATTATTATACTAGTATGTGTAGATTTTTCAAAACCTGTGATTTTTCTTTTTTTTTTTCTTCCCCCCCTGCTCCCTCAGGGAACCCCCACAAGGAGCTCATTTTCTGGCCAAAAGTTTAGATGAAGCCTTAAAACTTATTGAGCAACCAGAATTAAACAATAAAGTAGACATGGTTTGGATAGTAGGAGGCAGTTCTGTTTATAAGGTAAGTAAAATGATCTATAAATAAACTAAATGTTCTCCCTACTTTATTTCAGCTCTCTTGCCATTTAAAGAGAAGATGAGAAGATAGGATATAACCCATTGTCTGAAACTAAAAATTTAAACCATGAGCCTTAGAAGGAGCACATTATCACTACTTATAAGCTAGACAACTTGTGTGCTAAATTGTCATTTGACACTGCCATGCCAAGGAAGTTCTTTAGTCTATACCAGTTATTTTCTTTTTTCAGTCTAGTTCTTCTCCTTAACTATTTTTTAACTGGCAAGAGCACAGATATTATGAACAAGGTGTTTTGAAATACGTGTACATTTATAGAATGGCTAAATTGAGCTAAATAACATGTATGCTACCTCACTTATTTTTTGTAGTAAGGACACTTAAAATCAATTCTGAGCCATTTTTACAAGCACAATACATTGTTACTGATGATAGCCATCAAGTTATACAATAGACCCACTAAATGTACTCTTCCTATAGAACTGAAATCTTTATCCTTTGACCAACATCTTCCCACATATCAGTTTATTTTCAGCTCAAAACACTAGCTGAAGTTTCCAGGTTAAAACCATCCTAAAATTCTTTCTGAGAATTACATTCACACCTTACTGTGTTCTATCTAGATATGCTGTTATCTCTTTGTTTCTCTGAGAAACGTCTCACTGAGAAAAGCATAGGGCTCTCAGGTGATAGGTAACTCAATGTATGTTTGTTCAAAGTAGAACAAAAGCTTTTCCTCAACAATTTGCATATAATGTGAGGGTACAGGATATGATCTCATAAGGAAAAATAGGGTACAAAAGAATTTTTTTTCCATTTTTTCTTAATAATTCTAATGTTAGATTTTTTAGGAACTCTTTGATTCTTAAATATACTGTGTGTGTGTGTGTGTGTGTGTGTGTGTGTGTGTGTTACTGATAACCTCATACCCCTGTAGCACTTGAATTAATCCTCTAGCCCCAGATTAATATTTATGGACACAAAGAAATTCAGTCCATACCCTTTTAGGCTTATGGAAACATATATCCACTAAATTTATTTGAGAAAGAACAATTCTAGGCTCCTTCTCAATTTCTTACATTTTTATAACCTTATTTTCTCCATTTATTTATTTTTTTGGGGGGGTGGTCAGGCATGGGGCTTGAACTCTGGGCCTGGGCACTGCCCCTGAGCTCTTCAGCTCAAGGCTTGAGCCTCAGCCCCACTTCCGGCTTTTTCTGCTTATGTGGTGCTGAGGAATTGAACCCAGGGCCTCAGGCATGCAAGGCAAGCACTCTACCACTAAGCCACCTTCCCAGCTCTCTAATTAATTATAATAGCAGACTTTTTTTTTTCTTGTTGTTTGTTGGTTTTACTGAGACAAGGAAACACTGTGTAATCCGGACTGACCTGG